CAGCCTCTCGACAATATGCGTTTTTGCTGGCTGTAGCAGCGTTATAGCGCTGCACAGCAAAAACGCTTAAAAAGGCAAAAGTATTTAGCAGAACTAGCTACCGGAGATATATTGCGACTGTGAAACTCAACACAGAAATTCTAAATGATAAATACCTTGCTAGTGGCGCACCAGACTTACCGGTAGGACCATGCGTTTTCGCTTGATTCCATCCTGCAGAGAGAGTGGCTGTACTGCAGGTGTAACTACACTGTTGCAGTCTGAAAATCGGATACGCCTATACACAAGGCTTATGTCTAGGCAAAGCTTATGTTTGAAGACCCATATGTGAACAGCAAGCATCCTCAGAAAATTGCTTCCTGCTCATTTGGTTATCCAGTTAATACGATGGCAGCATTCCCCGAAGTAAACACTCACTTGGGCTATTGCGAGACCAGGCGTGCTTTGAAACTAAATTTGAAATGTCTAAGTCTCACGTTCGCTTAGAATATCCTCGTAAAGCTTCAGCTCCCTAGCACAACTGGTTGGCGAAATCGCTTTTCGTTACAAATATCTTTGATGTGTCCGAACACGGGATCCAAGCATAAGACAAAGGTCATTTTATACCCATACGCTCATGAATGGATAATAAATGTTCCCTTAAAGTTAAAACGCTTTGACTAGCTTACAGTTGTCGCTTTGCCAGCAGTTCGAAATCTCAATTTTGATATGTCTGAACACGTAATTTAGCGCATGTCAAAGCCGAATTTATAATCTTTAGCTCAAACATTCCTGTAAAATTTTGACTTCCAATCATGTCTTGTTTCCGGACGTACTTCCCTGCCAAAAAATTTACTTGTTTTCTTTTACAAGTCCGCACTTAGAAGGCAAACATATGTGAATGATAATATTAATATGGGAGGATCGCAAATGGGGTGGGCTGTTGCTTTAGAAATTTCAGCTTCCTAGCTTCTTTAGTTCTCGAGTTGAAAGTGTATGACAAAGTGCGAACACATATGCGGACACACATGCACACACAAATAAACAAACAACCTCTTGCCAACAAGTGTTTTTGTATTTGCACAAATATGCAGAAACACATAAAATGGATGTATGGCGCTATAAAATAAAATTTTGATTACTTTATACGAAAGAAGAAATTTAAAAAAATTTGTGGTAAATAACAAAATGACAAACACGGAATTTCTAGAAAAATGCATTAGTAATGGTCATAGCATGAACTAACTTTCCTGAAGATCTTCGATGAATGCTACGAAATGCTAAGTTAAAAATATATTTCAAAGAATAGTGATTAAAACTGAATTTTTGAGCAGCGTTTGCTCAAAATTTAGTTGGCACAGAGCAACAATTACTTATGTGATACTATCTGCTCAAATGATTAGTACTAAATTTTGTATTCTGACTGCGAGTGGTTAATCTTCGCAAAGCATGAAATGGTAGCTTTTCTTGTTGAAAATTAAACTTATGAGTTTGGGCATTTTAGCGCCACGTTTGCATGCACAATAATTTGTATGTTGTTACATAAATAGTGCACATGAAGTTGCTTATATGGGGATGTTTATATTGCCCAGGAATTATCACAGCTTATGAGGGATGCAAACTACTTTATTTATACACAGCCGCTTTCCAGAAAGAAGCCGTTCACTCCTCTTTTCCTATAGCTCCATTCTGCATTCATTATTCGTCTTACTACAATCCATTTCGCCTGCATTTCAGGTAACATTCATACACATCAATTCCAATTCAGTTCAGAACCACTCTCCACCCCCACCCTCCGTCCCCATTTTAATTGATATTAATTATTTTTTGACAGCACTTGCACAGCTGTACAAAACTCAAATGAGACAAACTATGAGATAGCCTGTGTGGAGATGAGTGGGCAATGGCTACGCTAGTGCTTGCCGTTGTACAAAAAATGTATGCCAAATTCGACATGAGGTAAACAATTACTAACTAACTTTTTTACTTTTAAAAGGTGTGTGTAAGTTAAATTTGGATTCTTTTGCCTTTTCAATTTACTAGCCGGAGATTTTTTTGGGCACGTTTGCAACAAGCGTGTGACCTCAAGATCAGTTTCGCGTGGCTTGGGCTTTACGTAAGCATGCGCGGAAGCGGTTGAAAAAGCATTACTGTCAAACAGATTTGAAAACCTGACAAGATTGGAACTGAAGTTGTACGAGGATGTTCACTGCTATGTATAACTCAAAGAATTTAAATTCAGCTTTGAGGTGCACCAAAGTTCCGGAGATGCGCAGTTTAAAGTATAAAGTGACATACTTTTGATGCCCTGTTAATTTGAAAATCAGACTGGAAAATTTTCTATCCTAGGAGGATGCTTGCTGTCCGCGTGCGGATTTACGCACGAATAGCAAACACCTGTGTAAAACAAAAGTCCCGCCTTCTCATATCCAGACACGTAAAGATTCAATTTGAACAACTGTAATCATCCTTTTCTCGGTAATCAAACATTCTAGAAAACTGAAATTCCGCGAGGTCTCATCAGCTCAAACGATAGCTCTCTCAAATGAGCATGAATGAAAGGACTTAACACGTTTTGGCTGAGTGCTCCCTATCAATAATGTGAAACTATGTATGTTTAGCTGCTGCATAAAACAGTACAGAAAATTCGTAGTTGCATTGGCAACTCTGGTGCAGACAGCTACTTGTTTTTCTACTGCTATCATACTTTTTGCTGATCTGGACCAGAACAGTGCCTTGCTGCCGCACTAAGAAGAGCGACGAGAAATCGTCGAAGTCACACGAAACTCTAAACAAACCGAAAGTTCCCAGTGGTCAACTTACTTCTTTCAGACTATCTGGTTACGGAGATGCTTGAAAAGATTCGAAAAGAATAAGCATTTCATTGATTCTAGTGCTGCTCCTCTCGTTGAATTTTGGAGACACAGGGACCGGGCTCAGCTGAGCAAAACAACATGTCTGAAAAAATAAGCTACTCGTTTTTCTGCTGGATGTATAATAGTTAAAGGGCGCATTAGAGCGACCAGCAAAATAGCTAAATTTAGCAAAATTACGTAAAATTCGAACTGATAATGAATAAAGTCCCTAAAACTCAAAGGTATTTGTCAAAAGTGTTCATTTATTCTTCACTTTAAATAGAAGATTTCCAGACAATGCCGATGTTCTGATACTGCCTTGTGTCGCTGTCCTCTGTACAGAACAGTAAAAACGAAAATAAGCTATGGACACTAAAGTCACTTGACTGAAACTTCAGTCGATTCCATATCGTAACGTCGCTAACTTGTTGGAAAAAGGAACTCATTGCCCAGTGTTCCACTTAAATTTGCTGGATAAAATCCCAACAAAAAATTGTCAGTGATGAATAAAATCTCAAATTATTATTTCATTTCGTGTAAAAATTCACGCGCCCTTTCAAAAAAAAAGTTGAGAAGTTTTGGGAAATGAGAAAGGAGACGGGAAGAGAGGGCGAAGTGGAGAAATGAGGACACTGCATTTCCGACTATTAGCACATCACACTATTTGGTACTTGAATGAAGCTATTAAAGTTTTCCGAAATAGGCGAACGGTTCGTTCCATAAAAGATGTCAGTGTTCGTGCCGCCTGCTTTGACCACTGATCTGGAAGAGCGACGACCGTCTCGCATGTATCGTCGAGCCACAAAGCGAAAGTACAGCATTTCACACACCGTCAGTCACGTGAAATCAGTCCACGGCACAGTTGCAGCTGGTGAGTTCAGTGATTACAATAAAAGATTTTTACTTTGGTACTTCAATGATAGTCAGTGACAGAGGAACTTAGTTTTAAGGGCAGCTCACCTTTGCTCAGTCCTTTGTATTGACAATTTTTACGCGAAGTTTTAAGTGATTTTATGTAGCTTTGCAAGATTTGCGAGTTTTAACATTGTAGAGCACAATAAATAATGTTTCGTTAGCTGGAAGTTCAAAACTAAAGAGGGCGGTAGTGGATATGTTGTGCTTAAAATCTTTCAGAAAAGCAGCTTGTTAGTATTATTTCAGTAGACGCTTCTCTTATGTCCATAAATCTTTCTATTGTTAAATATACATAATGATGGCTGAAATTAAAGCAGATAAAGTCTGACAGACTAAGAAGATTAATCTGCCATTTGAGCTCAGTTTTCAGTGCTTGCTCAGTTTACCGTGTAAGCTGGACTAGAAAGGTTTTTTGCTCACGATTCAATGGTTGCCATTACATTAATCAGTAATGACTCTTTTTGTTCATTCTTCCAACTAACTCCGAAAAAGTTCGGATTAATTTGTACAGACTGCGCCGAGATAAAAACCAGTGTTAGTTTCCAGCTAGTTACTTTCTCTTACTGTTAAAGCTTTTTGTTACTGTAATCATTTAGCACATAAGAATGCGATTTAATTGGATATGTTGACTAGTGAAGCATTTGTGACCTAGCTGGGGAGCAGAAGCTAATATGGTTTCATAAAACTTCTTCCGCACAATATGTGAGAAATATTTGAATGTGTGCATCGGCATTTTTGATGTGAAATAATTTCTTATCTTTGAAGCTGCTTACAGTTTAGTTTATGCAAAATAATTATGTGCAGTTTTATAGCACTTCTACGAGCTTCCATAAATTTGTTCTCCAGTTTCCTCTAGGGATAAGGCATGCATTACAAGATGAATTTGTGGCAGAAGTCCAAGCTTTATGCATTTTCTGTTTTCATGCGCTTCTGCATATATGCAGATGCAACCCAGGCTGGAACGCACCGGGCGGGCCGGTGCGATCATGTGTTTTTGCACCGGACTTGAATTACTTAGGTTATTAACTGTATGAATGGCTCTTGCTTTATACCTAC